GTATTCATATCATCATAATATATATTATATACATAAAATATTAGTCTAAGTAGTTGTATTAAACGTGTAACTGAGATAAATTAAATAATTGCATTGAATTTTTATCATTATTAAAATGTTTGTTTGACTTTATATTATGTTTTGCCTATGAATGACTGTTTCCTATATTGATCACACAAAATTGCATACGAAAAAACAACAGTCGTCTCCACTACGAAAATATTACCCAACAGCTTGTATTACCTATATCTACTATATTATTATATTAGTTTTCTGTTGAAGGCTGTACCAGTAAATGCACACAGAAGAGATATTAAAAAACAGATATATTTTGCATCACCGCATCGTGGGCGAGTGTTGTAACTTGTGAATGGGAAGTTTTGAAGATAGGGTAATTTAATCCACATCTGTTTGCAACGATAAATCATTGTAAACAAAAAAATTATGCGCAAAGTTTAGACAAATATGTTTCGAACAATTTAAATTTAAATTTAAAATTGCAGTATTACTTTGTAACGACAAAACAAATTACGAATGTTCGTATTTATAGAGAATTTTAATATTAATTTATACAATAATAAAAATAAATGGATCTAGGACAGACAAATGGAGGCGACCGTCTGGCCACCGCCATATGGACGCCGCCGTTTGGAAGCTTAAAAAAAAAAAAAAATATTTTTAAAATTAAATAAATTCAAATTGAAAAACTGATTGTAATTAATTTTAAATTTGAATAAGTACATTAAAAATGCCTAGTGATGCTCGTAATAAAAATTGTATTGAAGTATTTAATAATACCAAGCTCTAAATATCTGAATAACTACTGCATTCTATATCAATACAATCACAATAATATAACATATGAATATATTATAATGGTATTGTTATCATTTTAGATTCTGAACGGAGCGAGGAAACTATTAGTTGTACAATGATGTTTATTTATTTTTTATCTATGAACAACATTTCCATCAGAAATTTTGCTCCGATTTTCCCATGTGTAGCACCTTTTCCGAAAGGAAATTTTATCTGGATGGTACCATAATAAGATCATTTTTTCTAAAGAGCTTTTATAATCAACGAGAAAACCGGAAAAAAATCGTAGAAAAAGTGGGAAATTTAAGAAAAGTATTATTTTCGATTTTGTTTTTTTGTTGTGATATAATTAAAAATATTCGTAGAGACTTGAAATTTGGACAGAATAGATACTTACATTTGCCTTTTATAAACGTGATAAAATTTAAAAATATATTAGCCAGTTTTGAGCTATATATTGTTTACGTAATTTTTAATCGGTATGTACTCTATGAATAAAATTGTTTTACCAAACAGAAATGCTTAAAAATTTAACGGGAAGTTCTTTATAAGTCGTAATTTGTAGTCGAAAAAAAATTAAGTAGAATATTTTTTTTATAAAAATATATTTTGATAACAAATTTTAACTAAAATCGTAAATATTACGGCCATTCAAAACATGTATATCAGAACTTTGCTCCGAATCGTTTTTCGTAAGCAAAAATGTATTGTTACTTATAGATATAAATTAAATAACTTTATGTATCCCACCTTCCCAACAAACCTCTTTTTTTATTTTCTTGTTATAATTAGTTAATTTTAATTAATAATAACTGCAATCAGTTAATAATATTCGTAGAGACTTGACATTTTAACAAAAAACTTATATTACCTTTTCTAGACACAGATTTTTGAGATATTTATTGGCGTTGTAATACATTGTTTATTTACTAATTTTTTTTTTTTTTGGAAGGTACTATGCAGAATATGATAGCAGATATCATTGTTTAACCAAACAGAAATGCTTGAAAAGTTAACAAGATGTTCATTATTATTAAGTTCTGCTTAGTGGTCAAAAATAAATATAGTATTTAATTTATTATTTTTTTTTATAATGGTTTTAAAACCAAATTTTGATGAAAATCATAAATATCACGGCCTTTCAAATGAAGTATAAACGATTTTCTTTCAAAGTCGTTTTACGTTATCAATAGTTTATCGTTATAAAATTTATAAAATAAATGACTTTGTGTATCCTACCAACTTCCCACCTGCTACAGTTGCGCTCGCACCAGCATTATTAGCTCTTCTTTTTATTTTACTTTTAATTCAATTGTAGAAAATGTTGTCTCGGCGATGAGGTGATTTATTGTTTCTCCTTGCATAATGTATAGTTTCCTGAATTATTTGTGAAACGACGGTAAAAAAAATGGGAAAATGTACGAAAAAACGGTTTCTGTTATTTTCGATTACCTATATCTATGTGCTGTAGTTAAAAATTGTTAAGCTATTTATAGGTATTCGAAATGGCCGAGTTTTTTTTAATTTGTATTTGGTTATACGTGGATTAAATTTTTTCGGCTTCTCAAATGTGTTTGACAATTTAATACAGGTTCATCGTAAGTTGTTCTGTTTGTTCCTACGATGGCACTATTAAAACACTGTTTGTGATTGCATTGAGACGTCCCGGTTCGGCCGGCCTTGTTTTGAAAACCGTCCCGAGCGCCCAACTGACTACCCGCCTAGGAGCAAGGTCGCCAACCTAGAACCGAGGTCCGAAAACCGGAGACCTAGGATTTTTGTTAGGAGGGAAAAAGGAAAATTATATTCATCTAAATAAATAAACATATGTTTTTTTTTTTTTTTTTATGGGGAGAATGAAGAATTATTTTATTAAATCATTAATCATCAAATAAAAGTAAAGTTACGTTTATGTGACAGAAAAGCCCATGGTAAAAAAAACTGTCAACCACGAGAAAGTGAATAATAGGTACGATTCTACATAGGTTAGGTTATATATATACATAGAATGATAGACATATATTTTAAATACATATATATATAAGGTGACTGGAGTGTCAACCATATGATATTATAAGGATTTTTTTTTTTTTAATACGCGCGCACACGTGGTTGTAAAGCTTAGCGCTTGAAAGAGAATACAAAACATAAAGAAACAAAATGCCGAGGGGTTTGCCTATTTCACATAGGATGTGAAACGCGGGGATTACTACAACGAGACGGACGCACAAACTTAACAGACGCTGGTTGATTCCCGTAGGTATAACGGAAGAATTTAACATGAAATATTAAATCGCACACGACTTTAACACATGCACAACGCGAACCGCAGGACGCGTACACAAACACGGGAGAGTATTGTGTTGGGAGGTGTATACATGATATTGAACGAACGGTGGTTCGAGAGAATGAAAAAAAAAAAACATTTTAAACAAAATATTTTAACGGGGGACATTAACTAGACTAACTTAAAACTACCTAACTAAAAAGGTAAATTATTAAACAGCGTGTACATTACCAATCATCTCGCCCGAAGATGTCTGCGCAGCGGACCGGACCGGGGCTCACTCCATTAGTTCGTTCGAGGCACCATCAGGACGGGAAACATGCCAAGGTATACGACCTTTCTTAATGGCGAAAAATACGCGAGCCCGTACGGTACGGGAGTGTTTTAGCGAAAAACCGTAACGAAAGACCCCGTCCGACGACGAACTCTCGAGACGAGGTCTGTACGCGAAGAGCGAAAAGAACGAAAATGAACTGGGCGGCGGAACGCCGAGACGTCCGCGACAAACGTCGCCGCGGGCCGACGTTTCGGGCGATAAAGGGAAACGTGATGTGATTGGCCGTTAACCCGTAGTCGGGAATATAATATCACTGTAAATTGCGAAAGATCGCGATCGCACAGGCCTTTCCGCGGAGGGAGGACGGGAGGAATTATCGATCATATTGAAATATGCGAACCCGTACGGCACGGGAGTGTTTTAGCGGAGAACCGTAACGGAAGACCCCGTCCGACGACGAACTCTCGAGACGAGGTCTGGACGCGAAGAGCGAAGAGAACGAAAATGAACTGGACGGCGGAGCGCCGAGACGTCCGCGGCAAACGTCGCCGCGGGCCGACGTTTCGGGCGATAAAGGGAAACGTGATGTGATTGGCCGTTAACCCGTAGTCGGGAATATAATATCTTTGTAAATTGCGAAAGATCGCGATCGCATAGGCCTTTTCGCGGAGGGAGGGGGTAGGGGGAATTATTGATCGCGATGACATAACATATCCGTCGCCGCGGACTACTGTATCGATTGTAGGGGTACGCTTGTCCCACCATAACGGAATATGATCGTTTTTGGACGTTACACGTTGTAACACGTTGTAACACGATTTGTGAAAAATCATTTCTCTTTGGCAATGGTCTGTCGCCGTGCACAGGTAAACATTAAATAATTACCTCCATTAATGTTCCACCTTCCCGACTAACCGCCTGGTACACCCGCGTTATACGAATAAGTGTATACATCCGTTCTTTTGTGTTTTATCGAAAAACTATTGGAATTTGTTAGCATAAATTTAGTCATAAGACATGAGCACTTCGAATTTCAATTATTACTTCATGTGACATAAATCCGGATAATCCGGGAATCGGCATTGACGGGAAAGTTTTTGAATTGAATGAAAAATTCTTAAAAGTAATCCCGAATCCCGATTTTAAATAAATTTTTGGATTTCAGATTTCGAAAATCCGGATTATCGAACTTCGGCAAAATTTGCATCTTATTTATGCGTTTGTTTTCTAGAAAAATACATTAGATTATTAATTACATCCGTCAAACAATGCATTTCAAAGTATTTGTAGGTAGGTACCGTGATTAGATTGTCGTAACAACTTCAACTGTGCAACTTTTAATTTTTAATTTTCCCCGTTTTCCAATTTTAGATCGTTTTACAGAGAGAACAATGTGTGCAGGCAAAATGAAATTTTTTCGAAAAAGCGTTTGTATTTTTTGGCATTTAATATTAAAAACAAACCGTACATATTATATAGGACGTAAGGATAAATGGTCCGATTTCAATAATTTTGTTTACATTGGTTCGTATTAAATCACGCGCGATATACCGATTAAACAAAAAAGTAATCAAAGTGACGTACTACCTACCTATAATAATCACGCCACTGCCGTTTACATTTTATTAAAAACAGTATAAATACGGTTTCGGGATCTCTGTTCAGACATAATTTGTGCGATTTTATTCATTGGTGAGTACACACGCTTATTGTATTGATAATATTACACTTTTTGTGTTTTTAATTTTATTCCTATATGCAGCCTTCGCTTGGTTTCACGAAAACAAAACCAAAAATCAAAAATGGGCGCTGAAAAAGTAGTAACCATGAACATCGTTGTCGTCGGACAAGTCCAATCCGCCAAAGCCCCCAAAACCGTAGCCAAGGCCGCCCCAGCCACCAGTCAATTGATGGTGAGCGTACTGTTTTAACGTTCATAGGTAATTATTGCCTTATTGGTTATTACCCATCCACTTGTTTTTCTATGAAGCGATACGGTTATGTTTCATCATAAACAATTTTTTTTTTTTTTATGAAATATAACCAAAATTTTACAAACTTAATAAATCCGTTCAACCTTTAAATGATTAATTTAGGTAGGTACATAATATAATTTTCTCCCCAGAACACACAATATATACACATTTTTTTTTTCTAAATAGTCATCAAAATTCAAAACGTTACAGTTTGAACAAATTCAATGTTTTTTTTTTTTATTACAGACTAATACATTTTATAATGAATTTTCTTATTAATAATATTCTAAAACACTAAATTCATTTAATTACCTACCAAACAAAATTCTTAAGTTTTTAATAAAATATATTTCAAAGAAAATTAATTATATTTATCAAAATTATTATTATTAATTTTTTTTATATTACATTCAAGGTGTTCCACGGAAATATGACAAACGCAATAACCATTCAGTATTTGTATGTATTTGTAATAATTACTAAAGGCTTACAATACCTCCGTTGGTATCGTAAGCCTACGGACATATAGTTCTTATATTTTATATTTTTTAACAACTATTTTTTACAAAAGCCAATATAGCAATTTTGTAAATATGTTTTAAAAACAATGTTTATGTTTCATATTATGTTTACTAATTTTCTATTTATCCTATATAAATATTTATAACACCAAAATTTGTTCCAAAATATACTAGAAATGTTTTTAAAAATTGAAAATTTGTATTAAAAGTTTTAAAAATATATATAAAACTGAAGAATCACATAGTGCAAGGCTCTAGTAATTATTACAAGAAAAGGAACATTTAAAAATAGTGTATAGAACAAAATTGATTGCATTTTTCAGATCTCCATGGAACATCTTGTGAAGTACTATAATCATTTAAGAATATTGTACTACCTACTGACCTCATAATATGTATTTATTTTTTTTTTGTTTCAGTCTTGTTAAAATCATGAAGTTCATACATTGCAAACTAAAAATGTTTTATCCCAAATAATTAAGTAATTGTTAATAATATGAATTGACACTTCAAAATAAACTAGTCTTATCCGTTATTTTTTTTTTTTTATTATTGTTTTTATTTGATGGTATTTTAAATGTTACTTAATAGCAATTCAATAAATGCTACGTTTAACAAATATAAATAAGTGTTAAATTTTTTCAATATTCATTAAAAAATGATCGGGTTGCATTATGCTGCAAAATACTTATAACACCATTTAGAAGTTGATAGAAAAGACTTTAAAAAACCACTATTTTGACATAACAATAAGTACAAATCATACATTTTTTAATATTACAATAAAAAATGTACTCTAATAGTATCTATAATATTATATATTATAATAATATGAAGCAGCTGGTTTTTCAAATGCATAGCATAGCTTAGCTCATTATAATTTATATTAACTTTCTTATTAATGTTATTATAATGAGTTTCAGTTAGTTTCATCATTTTCCCCAAAACTGTCCAGCCACGTAACAAATCATTAATTTTTATAATTATTTATATAGTGATCTCACCTTAAAATTATTATTTATATATAAAAGAACTAATATTTTTTCTTAAAAACAATACTCGCATTCTTAAAAACCATTTTGAAAAATTAGGAAACATTATTAAGCTCTATGGAACAAAATATCACCAGATGAATATAAGATAAAAAGAACTTGATACATAATAAGATATTTTTTATCATTGCCCGTTCATACTACTTATGCCACTAAACTTTAATAGCAATAAAAATGTAATTAATTTCAGTATTTAAAACTAAAAAATTCACTATTATCTTACAATTTACAATTCTTTTTTTTTTTTTTAATTTTGAGTGATATTTTATTTTAATAATTTTATCTTAATTTTGTTTAATTAGTATATATTTGCCTAGAAACAATATAAACCATAAGAAAGATATAATATACCTTATGAAAGGGCATAATGTGCTATAGTAAACTCTCAAAAAAAAATATATGAGAACATGTCCATAAATATCTAATAGAAAAAATGCAAACTTAATGGCTTATGTATTTATTATATAATAACCTGTTTACATAATACATATAATGTTTATCATTTGCAATTATATAATCATTAAATTAGAAACTGGAAACAATATTCAAAGATTTTAAAATGTCTTCAACATTTAATGTAATTAAAAGTCATACCCAATATTATAAATTCAATATTTAACATAATAAATATATATTAACATATTAGGTACATAAATAGATACTAGGTGAATAATATAGTTTTATATTTAATTAAATTTATAAATATAATTCAAAATCAACACGTTTAAATGAATGGAAATCACTGTTTGAATTACATTTCCGTACCCAAATGGGTTCCTTAAATTTATCATCTACTTTCCATTTTTGCATTTGCTCAGTATTATAAGGACCAAAAATTTCATTACCTTCTAATGAAAACTTATATTCCCACTGCAATGATTCACCTAAAGACATTTACAAATTTTAAAACATTTAATTGAAATTATTCGATTATAAAAAATATACCCGTTGCGACATCTTCTGATTCTTCTTGACTACTTTGACTAGTATTTTCTAATTTTTCCTTTTCTTTTAAATCAAAATCATCAGCATACATATCTAAATCTGATGCCATAGAAGTTGAAGGTTGTCCTTTTTTAACAGATTTTGAAATCTACAAAAGAAATAATTAAATAAAACTGACATTGAAGATAGACCTATCAATGTTATTGATGTAAAGTTGGGAAGGTGGAATACATAAAATAATTTTATTTCTATCTGTAAGTACTAATAAATCATTGCTAACGAAAAACGATTTTAAATGAAAATTGATTATACATGTTTTAAAAATCTTAATTTTTCTGATGTATATCAAAATTTGATCTAAAACATTTATAAAAAAAAAATCTAATAAATTAAGATCAACATTTTTTTTTTTACCACTAAGTACAAAATGATACTCAGATCAAATTTTCAAGCAGTTTTGTTTTGTCAAGAAGTATATCCAAGTGATATCTACCTACGAAATAAAAACTAAAAAAACTTGAAGATATTTAATACCTATGAATAGCTCAAAAATCCCCTGAATGTTTTGAAAATATTGTCACATTTAGAAAAGGCTATTATAAAATTACATCTTCTTTTTAGGTTTTCTCAATTAAAAAAGTCTCTTGGAATTTTTAGATTAAATCAAGATTTCTAGAAAAAAAAATAATTCATAAAAGTTTAAATAAATTGAATTGTACACTATTTATTATTTTTTGGAATTTTTTTCAAATTATTAAGAAAACCTCTTGTAAATCAAAAAATAGGCCTAAAACACCACCAACTAGATTCAAAATACAAAAAAAAAAATGTCTGGTCATTTTTTGATTTTAAAAGGATTTTTAGTAAAAAAGTGGTTTACCGATACAAAAAAAAAACAAATAAATAGCACAAATCTAAGTAAAACCAATACATTTCAGAATCTAATATATTATGTGACTATCAATACACAAACATATATTGTTTGTACTATTTATAGTTAAATATGAAAAATAAAACCACATCAATTATAAATATTAATCTTTAGCAAAGTGTGCGTGGTAATTATTTTCTAATAAAATAATAAAGTAAAAATAAAATTATTAAAATGGTTAATATTTTTAATAAATAAAGTAAATAAATATACAAATAAAAAATGTATATATAAAAATAAAAATAAATAAATGAATGCATCGCTTAGAGTATTAAGTCATTTATTTATTTTCTTTTTATACATACAATTATTTATTTTAATTATTTTTTGTTCATATAAAAACCATTTTCTTTCATATATTATTAAATCTAATTAATTAATGTATTTTACTTTAATTTTATAATCAATTTTATGTATATGTGACAAAAAATAAAAATAATACTATTAAAATAAACAGTTATTATTTTTCTGCTCATAAAAAGCTTCAAAGCAACCGGAATAAATCTCCAATAAAAAATATGGTCTAAGTAGATGAGCTTTGCACAATTGGTGCAAACTTTTCTAGTTTTGCAATTTTTTTTATTGTTCACAAAAAGTACATTTACCAAATGTTTATATGCATTGTAATTTCCCCAAAAATGGTTACTTCATCTAGTATACATTAATCCATAATTCATTTTTATAGGACTTATTATTAAATACTTAATCTGTAAATATTTTGAATACATTAATTGGAGTTGCTATAAGAATTTTTTATTTTTTGTTTGTAAAGATCAATTTTTGCTTAATCTAATGTACATGTTAAATTTCACCTATAAATAGACAGCATATGACCAAAATTATCATCAATTATTATAATAATGATAAATTAATATAAACGATAAAAACCAACTTACAATCTGAGAAATCTGTTCATAAGTTTCTTGATAAACATCCATGTTTCCATTAGCTGTTAAAATTTGATTTGCAAGTTCTGTAAGCCTAATTACTTTTGAAGATGATCCACCATCAGTACTTAATCCTGCTTTTTTCATTTTCCATCTTTCAGCAGTCGTTAGTCGTTTGTTTCCACCTAAACGTCTTAATGTTTTTGAAATAGATTCATTGGGTTCCATCATACTAATTATTTCTTTATAGGCAGCATTTACATCAAACTCTATGTTATCATCTATACTTTCATCAGTTGTTTTCTTCTCTTTTGACATATCTTTAATCTATATTTATAATAAAAAATTAAACTATTACCCAATAAACAATATTGGCTATATTTAAAAAAAAATATATATACAGAGTGATAAATATTACAGAAAGCACTCATTATTTCAGAGTATTTATTTGTTTTTTAGAAATTGTCAGTAAAAGTCTAAAATGTTACATTAACATTATTTGTTACTCTTATTTTTACAGATGAAACGACTAACATTTTATTTTCAAATGGCAACTTATATTAAAAATTCTATAAATTATTTAAACTATTTAAATGAATTTTGGTATTGACATTTTTAATTTCCATAAATTAATTTTAGAGATATTCCACTTTTAAGTTAGGGAAAGAGTAGTGAAGCATCATTTGTGTGACAATAGGGTCGCAGTGTTTGAATAGTTTTCTACTATTCCTCTCTACTAAAACTTAATAGTCGAATATCTCGTCAATGAATTGACGGAAATTAAACATAATAACACTAAAATGTATTTAAACTAATAAGTACTCCATATATAATATATTTATAAATATTTGAATACAGGTTGCTATTTTATAATCAAAAATAAGTGGTAGTTTCAACCGAAAATTAGAATGGCTAAAAATAATGGCAAAACAAAATTTTAGAGAGGCTGGTTTCTTACAATTTTAAACAAATTTAATACTTTCAGAGAATAAGTGTCCTACGTTATGTTGATCACCCTGTATGTTTATTTATATGTGCAGTTTTTATTTACTTTACACCAATCGATATTCTCTAACCAATTGTCCTTAACATCCTGATCTTTTTTCCAGTGATACATTCCATCTTTATCAAAATGACCGTCTTCCAACTCATCTTTCATATTAAATGGTGTAATTCGTATCTCACCATCTTGACCAACTACTCCTTCTTCTTGACCTATGTCATATTAAAATACAGTTATTAATGGTATTTAACTATAATAAATAGATAACACAATTGAATTTTTTATTTTCTAACCCATTGGTGACAAACAACATGTTATTATTCAAGTACATTATATCGAATAGTAATTAGGTACCTTCAATATCGTGGTCTTGTAGGGCATAATTGTTTTCATCGACGCTATCGTCATCGTCATCGTCCTCTTCTGAGTCTGCAATATTGTTTAACTTTTCAAACTTGTTCTGTTGAAAAATCTCTTCTTCTAACTTTCGTTTATTCATTTTTGGAAATTTTATAAATTCTATTTAACACGTCTTAAAATTAATTCAAAAAACTGTGAATCGTATAAACTGTAAACAATATTGAAAGTGATAACCGATCTGTTTTATGGGGATCTTGGTATGTGTTCGTGGTTCGAGCGTAAGTATATTTTATTATCTATGGATTCAAGACGCTTCGAGTGTATCAATATGAATAAATAAATACAAATGTATGGCACCAAGTACTAATAAAGAAAAATTAAATTGGATTTAATCACTGAACTAAATATTTTAATCATTTTATTGTATTTTATTCAATGGATTTTATCATGAACAGTAATAATATTGCTTACCATACTATAATATGAAAACAGCTCACTCGGGATGTAAACAAAAATTAAGAATATTGTTACCACGACGAAATCAGTGTGACCACAGTGTGTGTAGGCATAAAATTTCGTTTGATCCAAAAAATGTCCCGATTTATAATATGTGTCTTTATGTTGTAAATAAAACATATTATTTTACCCTTTCATTACCACCGTTCATTTCAATATACATGACTTTTTAATCATAATACGTGTTAATTATTCCTTAAGTTGTGTTGGTTAAGATGAATTAACTTTAAGTTATCTAAATATATTGGGACTTGGTTCAATTAGTGATAAATCACAAAATATAAATGTACTCGTAAATATATGTAGGTGTACTAAATTATATCTATCTTATATTCAACAATGATTCAAGTTAATAATATTATGGTTTTATGGAAAAAATAGAGTTTTCTCAGTTAAAAATTACAAGAATAAAGTATTTAAGTATACTTCATAATTTATCATTTTTAACCTAAACTCTCAAGTCCATCAAAATGGATCGATCCTGTATGTCTTTTAATAATCTTTAACATTTCACCAAACTTGGTGAAATTGTTTTTTTATAACCTTAGATCAAAAAAAGTTACCAAAAAAACGTTTGGACTCAAAAAATTAATTGAGTAATCAAAGAGTTAAGAAATGTTTTTTTTAAAAAAGTTATGAAAATAACGATAAATGTTTCAATAGTAGCCGATGAGACAGCCGATAAATCAGGTGTTGAACAATTCGCTTTATGCGCTCGTTGTTATGACGCGTACGGAAAAAAAATATGAGAATTTTTTAAAATTTGTCACAGTGGATAATTTTAATGGCCAAAGCTTAGCAAATCATAGATAATAAATGATTGAATTAAAAGGCTTAAATACTGAAACAAAAAATGTACGGGATCAAGGCTATGACGGCGCCGCAAGTATGAGTGGGAAATTAAATGGTGTCACAGCTTTAATTAGAAAATAATATCCATATATATTATATATATAATAATATAAAAAATTTTTAATATACATCTGGCCAAGTTGAGAAAAAAGAATCTTCTTCCAAAAAAAAAAAAAAAAGGTACTACGGTTAGTAGGTACCTCTTCAGTTCCTGTTGAGTAATTTCGGTCTGTGCGACTGTGCAGCAACTATGGACATAATTGACGAGCGATAAGCAATAAGCGAACTGACTGATACAATATTATATTTTTTTTTATTGCAATTTTGTTATTTTTTGGCTGCTGTATCCAATAATAAACACAAGCGAACTATTAACTGATACGATATTATATATGATCTAAGGACTAAGGTACTCATAAATAAAAATATTATCTATGCAGATATCATAACGAGGTGACATCAATCAATTCGGAGTTATTGCCTTTCGTAGCAGTTTTTATTAAGATAATCAAAATTTTAAATTTAATTTTGTAGTAATATACATTCGTAATAATTTATATTTGGAATAATAAGTTCGATAGTAGCAGTAGATTTTCATAGTAGTTGTAGCAACCCGTTACATGCTAGTGACCTTCCAGTTAGCTTGTCAGGCCACCGTTGACAGACTTACGGTTTAAATCGTATTTCTACGATAATTTAGAGCAAAGTTTGATCTAATATCCTATTTTAATCGTAAACAGCTCGTACATTTACGAGTAGAACCTTTCAAATTTCCACAAACTATTTTATTTTTTTTTTTTTCATTCTACCCTTGATATGAATATTATAATGTATAATGTACAATCACATACATTTGGTTAGAACCATGAATCATGGCTATTAGATAAGATAAGAAATTCTCATGAAAACTTTTTTAAAAGCTTGTTATAGTAAAATATTTTCCATCAATAACTTTACTATGATTTAATAAAAATAAAGTTTGTCTTTTTTTTTTTTTTTTCTAAAAGCTGTACTGTTCAAAATTGTATATTTGTTCGTTGATAACAATATTTAGACTTTTGAAAAACAAGCTATTTATTTAGATAGGTAGACGTGATTTTAATATTTTATTAAAACTATAATTTTATAATAACAGTTTACATGTTTACATTTGTGCAGAATGGATGATAATTTAATAAAAGAAAAAGAATCATCAGTTCAGACATCTACAAATAATGTCAATAACGATGAAGTTTGGGAAATAATTGATAAAGAAGATGATGGTAAAAAATTGAAATACAATTTTTTTTAAATATTTAAACATTTTTAATAAAAACATGACATTTTTTATTTTATAGAGGACTTGAGAAATTTATCTGCTGCAGTATATGCTTTTATATTGTTAGTTATTGGCATACCACTATGGTGGCGAATGACAGAAGTACAAAGACATCCACTTCCATACTCACAGATCTCACAATTAGGGAATATGGATGTAACTATTGCTACCGACATATTTGTATATACCAAAAATGTATCTAAAACAGAACAGATTATTCAACAACTTCATACTACATTCAATTCAAGTAATTCCAAATTAATATAATGTTATGTTTAAATAAATACATAATACTTTTACAGCTATGTTCAATATCAATGCTCAGTCTTCTACTATCAAAAATTTAGATGATACTTTGGATAAATTAGAGACCATTGTTATATCACCTTTAGGATCATTACATCTAATCGAAACAAACAGTGTTGATAACATAACGGCGGGTCTTAACCGTAATGTATATTTCTCTCCTAGTACAAGTAAGCCTATTATTTTTCTTATGTTTAGTTTATATATAGATTATATTAAATGTTATGTACAGATATTCAGCTGCTGATGGCTACATTAAAAAGACTGTTACAAATAGACGCATTATCTGATTCAATGATTTCTATGTTAAGCCCTGGTAAACATTCTGATGACCCACAAATAGTGGCCGAAAGACAACGCAGAGTTAGACCATCATCAAATTACAATGTGCTTCTTACAGTTGTAAACCCAGAACCTGATAAACTACACTTATCCTGGGAACCAGAAATACCTTTAAATCGTTAGTTTCATTGATGTATATATTTATATATGTGATACTAATTTTTTTATGATTTACACATTTTATATTTTTAAAATTTGTTTTTAGGTTATCTGCAACCTTTACTAAATCAACTAGAATTGATTGCAGATTTTTCAGTACAATCTCAATGGCTGTATTTAATTGATTTAGTACAAAAGCCCGTGAATTTGAATTCTAGTTTTGTATTGGACAAAAATCAAGCACAATATATAATTACTCCATTAGAAAAAAAACTAGGTACTTTCTTTTTCAAATAATCCATTTTATCCAAGATTTCATTATACAATTGATAATTTATACTTGTTATTAACTGGTTTTAGGTTCTGGTGTATCTCAAAATCCATGTATACATTTTGTCATTTATGTGACCCCTTGTTCTTATATTCCTTTATTTTTTCACGAAAACAATCAACTTACCATAGCTATGATGTCAGCTCGATGGGGTGGAGTTCAATTCTTGAATGCAGATAAATTATCGTGCAATAATGATTCTATAAGCTTTGTACCAGATGATCTCAGTATTATGTCTCCCATTATCACACAGTTTCATGCATTAATTGGCGTGCCAGACATGACCAAGCATGTGTCTCTAATGCCACTCAAGTCTTCTACTTTACGGATGTGGCAATTAGATTCAATGTATAGACTTAAAATTATTGAACAATATACCAATGCGCGCATAACTTTAACTTCACTATCAAGACTTTTGGGTGAAATCAGTAACATTGTGATAATAGAAGAAGTTGGAAAAGCTGTAACAGAGTCTGTAGAAGCTGCTACTAAAGTACTTGAGTATTTGAAAATAGGCAAATTGGATGCAGCTTTAGAATACAGCAAACTAGCATTTGAAACTTCTGAGTTTGCATTTACCCATCCATCGTTATTAGCATTGCTTTATTTTCCGGATGATCAAAAGTATGCAGTCTACATTCCTTTATTCTTACCTGTTATGATTCCTGTATTGATGTCTTTGAAAGGAGTAAAAAAATGGATACAATTTAAATACCAACTTTAATTAATAATTGTTATTAAATTTATTGTTAAAATTTAATGTTTTATAATTTATTACATTATGTAACTAAACTGTATAATATACATATATATATATATATAATAGTGTATTAACTTATAAATGTTTGACTAATACTTAGGTACTTTAAATGATACTCCCTCATCTTTACCAGATGGGGCTTTACGTTTTTGTATTATATTTTGAATCTTATTCCATTCACGATCAAGTTCAGCTTTTTCGTTCTTTTCTTTGTTGTGTTTACGTGTACGTCGGCCATCTGTCATTTTGACACCATACTGGAAAGCTGCTTTTGGCAGTGCTTCTTTATTACTCATATATGTACCATATTCTTCGGCTGTGTCAAAATCCCAACGACCAACCGGCCCTTTCTTGTTGCCCAAATCCATTTTCGTATAATCTGCCTCGTCATCTGAATCCTCAATAGCATCGTGCATCTCATCTAAACCTGGATAACATTCTGCATAACCAGTGGGTTCAGCTGCCAAACGAGAGAGTAAGCCCATTTGGTTTTTGCGCTGGAATTTTGTTTTACTCAATGCCTCCTAGAAAAATTTAATATAATAGTTATTTATAATAATAACCAGTGATGGCTCGTGTTAAGGTGCACAGGAGCAGTGCACCACCTACAATTTTGAAAACTACATTATTATATTTTTATAATATAAAAATATAGTATTGATTATTACTAGAAATGCATTCATACTTATTTTAGAAACAAGAGTACAAATTATTTTATAAAATATTAACGAGGCTGTATCTGAGGGGGTTCAAAATGTTTTCAACAATTTAAAACTTTTTAAAATAATTGTTTATTTTTACAAGGATATAAATGGTTAAAATTCCAATTAAATTGATTTACGTCAAAGAACAATATTATTTAACTTGTAATAATAGATTATTGACAAAAATATAAATTTATATAAATTAAAAATATTTTATAAAACACCGGAGTTTGCCAGACCATCAGTTTATAAATTGTGTTTAGATTTATTAAGAAAACGCAACACCGGCATCTACTGTCTCTGATTTGCGCGACAGCAAATTTGCATTCAGTAGAACAAATTGTATTTTTAGTTTTAGTATTAAAATGAATCGATAAACATTACGAAACTTAAAGGTTAGATTATCTGTGCCCCAGTGTTGATGTTCTTTTTCTCAATATTTTTAAATGAGATATAATCATTTTTATATTGTAATATCTCACAAACACATCTTACTTAAAACTCAAAATATAAAAAAAAATATTAATGCTGATGCATAGATAATCTTCTTAACTTTAAGTATGGTAATAGGCCAATTCACTTTAATTTTAAAATTAAGGACACAAAATTGACAAGTAACCACTCTAAAGTTAATATCTGCCAGATGAGTAGGGGAATTAACATGACTAGATATAAGTTTATTTAGAAACAGAAAGTTATTCGTATACCAGCAGTCTGATAGTAATATCAGATTTACCATAAGACTTTAAATGGTATAAAGTTTAGACCAAATGAGTAAGAAAGGGTAATAAATTGCATATCTATTTATAATATGATAAATGATAAACTGATAACATTTCCAGTTTAAATTTTAAACTGTTACAACTCTTAATAGGCAAATCTGATATTAGTGTTATACATATCAACATTTCTAAGAAAATACATTTCATTCAAATTTCTATTTAAAAAGGGATTATTCATAATTGAAAAAACAAAAGTAGGTATACACTTATATAAGGCATATGGAATTGGGGTAAAAATTAAAATGTGTTTTAAAACTAAGTTTAAACAATTACACAATGATTAAAAGAAAAAATTCACTTAAAATCCTCAGAGAAAATGTTTGATTTGTGATACAAAAAAAATTACCTATAGTATAATTAATTTATAAATACCTACCTAGTTATAAAATTTTACTCAATGCTGCTAGATTTTTAATTTGACTACAATAAATACTTTTAAAATACATAATTGTAATGCTGAATATATTTACCCATCCCATTTCATCCCGTTTATGATGTTCCTTTTCAACTTCTTGTTCTTCATCTTTTGAATGTTTAAAGTAGTTGAATTGTTTTTTTGAATTCTCTTCAATACGTTTTTGAGTAGAAGGTTCATAATCTGGTAATTCAGGGTATATATTATCATCAAAAACTAGTTTGTCGCGTTTTTTTGATTTTTTAAAGTTCTTTGGTCCAGTTCGTAAATACGAAAGAATTTGCGCTAATTTATTTATAACGATATCATTTGTGGTCAAAGTCGGTCTATCATCCATACTGGGTACATCAGATTTACTGCGAATTAATGTAGTTGGAATATCAGTATCTGTAATATCATCAGTTAAATCAATTATGTAAGCCATACGTCCAGGAGCAAATAATGGATTTCGAATCAATTCATTCTCAGATAGAACAACTCTAAAACAGAAAATTGATTAATAATTTACTAAATTTACTAAGCCCGTACATTTCAATAAGTCAAATTTCTTACCTATAAACGTTTCTTCCTAGTCGCGATTTAAATTGCATTTCGTCTTCGTCTTTTGGTTTATCTTTTGTCGGTTTAGTAGTAACTAACTGTTCCATTTCAGTTTCTTGTTCAGTTTCTTTTGCAGTTATTTCACTTTTGACTTTTTGTAACAAAGCGTAATCTAAACCTTTTACCAAATGAGTATGCTCCATATCACCTCCCAAGAACTTCGATTCCTGAATCATCTGACGTCGGCGCTCTGCTGCATCCATACCAGATTTCATGTCCGGAGCTACTGCTCTGTAACCGCTAGCAACAGCTACAGGATCCTGAGACTGATAATCGGGATTAGCACCAACCCGCCGTTCTTTGGCTCGGTCACGATATTTTTCGGCCAGTTCTGCCATTTTATTTTCTTCCTGTTTTTTAAGTTTTGCATAAAATATTTTTTTTTTACGACGGAGTTCGGCTTTGTCATGTGATCCTCCATTTTCAAATTTTGATGAAGATGGTGTTTTGGACGACTGCGTTTCAGTAGAGTTGGCAGATGATGGAGTAGTTGATGGCTGAGATGACCTAGGGGTCATGAGAAGTCGTCTAAAATCAGCATTGGTCAGACGTTGGGTCTGACTTCCATCTTGGATATCTGGTTCTGGCATTTTGATGTATTTATTCTTTCCTATGAATAAGAATTGTAATTTGTGCAGTTTAAATTATATAAAAAACTTAACAAAGTTTAGTGGAACGAACATTTAACAAAAAATTCATAATAATTGTATCAACAATTAAATAGCGAATAAAAGTTTAATAATAATTTTTTATGTAATAATAATAATTTTAAAACAATAATAATTCAGACCTACAAAACGAAAAACTGTCGACGAGACGACAGCAGCACAATATGGCAATAACAAAGTAAATACTAGTTATACCTACTACATTCTTATCTATGCCCTATGTAAACGAATAATCATAAATTATATATTACTTACTTTAGTATTAATACTGTATAGATATATATTAGTAATAGAATCTAGAATAATATAATATATAAGACATTATGTATTTATTCAACGAAGACTTATCAGTTGCTATAAACTTCTTCGTTCTTGAATTAACAGCTAGCGCTCGAATGTTATTGTGGCCATTTTTATACTATATTCTGGCTCATGAACATTGGGCACTGAAAAAATAGGTGCTAGTGGCAATTTATGATTAAGGCTGTATAATTTATACTACGAATAAAGATTCGTGATTTATATCACAATGAATACATGAATTAATATTATATTAATAAATTTTACTATAGGTACCTATTATCACTTATCAGTATAACCTACTTCACTATTCGTGGTCCCTTTGATAAACTATAGATTAAATTAAATTAAATAACATCAGAATTAATACATTTATTACGTACAAATATGCATTATTTGACGAATTTGATCACTTAAAATACAATTTTTTTTTTTACATGACAATCATTTGGTTATTTATAATATTATAATATTATTATAGAAGTTCAGTATTAATATACATTATCTAATGCTACCAATTCTTGATTTTACCTATAAAAGTCAATTTGGTACGTAACATTTAGCAGACATAATAATTAGTTCTTTTTTTCATGAAATGTTAACAATTGAAAGCTCAAAAATACCGTCAAATATAAGTATTGAAGATTGGATTAGTTACAATTTTCGACACTGATTAGTTTTTTACGCTCTATTTAATGAAGAACTTTCAGCCTTCCAGGAACAATAGTTTGTTGATAACATACTCTCGTTGAGGCATAGACGTAAAATTAAAAAATTAATTTAAACACGACCGATAATGAATATAACCAGGTTAATCGTGAAAAAATCTAATGTCTTGATAATTGATGATAATTCAATATTACCAAGGAATATTATAACCTTAAAAAATAACTTCAGAGTTTGTTTCTATCGCACTTATATTGACTTCAATATATTTCACTAATGCGCAGTCTATATATTACAAGTCTATGCCTTGAATATCTTAATTCTTGAATAGAATTTAATATTATAATTGATTAAATATACGTAATATCAATGCTAGTGGATAGGTAACTTAGATTAAAGAGCCTAGATAGTACTATATATTACTGTATTACTATCTAGACCCTCCATCTTAGATCAGTAATTTAGGTTTATTGATGAGAATCGAATTTATTATGCAAGGTGAATCCATAGATAATATATTATGGGTGAATCTAACCTATTATTATTTTTATGTATGATTTTGTTTAAAGTTATCATGCCACAGAATACTACCACATGCTACCATATGCTACTACATTTTGTGTATAGAACTTTACTTATCAATGTCGACTTTTTTAATAATTATTATTTGGTTACTTTAAATTTAAGTTCAATTTAGATCAAAATTAATCATATTGTCATTCAAAATTAAATACATTGAAAAATAAAAAAACAAATGTACAAAATATCACGTCACTTTTTATCGTTTCTTGGGAGAAATATATGGAACATATGTATAAGTTAGGCGGTAAATGATAAATGATAATACAATTTGAAATAAATTGTATGATAACGGCATATTTTTCTAGAGTTTTTAAAGTATTAAAGTAATAAAAAATTAACATGTAAACCTTAATAAAGCGAATTCAACAGTATACAAGTGTTTGTGTGTACTTTAATAGTTATATTTCAGTTTATCAAAATGGCCATGTATGGTATGAAACAATTAGAAGAACGGCATGTACCAACTACAGTTCTCAAAATGGAATGGTCAAATAAAATGGATCTATTGGCCATAGCCAAGGAACACGGTAAATTGTAGTGATTTGTTTATTGTAAAAGAAAAACAGCGTTATCGACAGGTTTTTAAAATAATGATATTTCATAAACCGATATTAAAAAAAAAAGTTGTCATTTTTTATTTATATAGCCATTTAGGTATGTAAGATAGTTACATTTATTATTATAATTACTAGGTTAGCCAAATAAAAATAATTTAGTATTTATTTTTGTTTTTTACATAAACATTTAACAGATGTGATTTATATAGAAAATTCTTTTTTTTTTTTTAATAATCTAAGTAGTGTTTAATATGTTTACCTTCACATTGTATTGGTTTTGTATTTTTGTTTTGTACATATTATAATATATTTACAGGTGAAGTATCTTTACACCGTCTAACATGGCAGCGAGTATGGTCATTAGCAGCTCCGAACGATAAAACATTAGTAACTGCATTGGCTTGGAGACCTGATGGAAAACAGTTAGCCGTGGCATATGATTCATGTACTTAAACTGTTCATTTCAATTATTAAGGAAGAACAATTTTAAACAGTTTTTTAGGTCTATAGATTAAATACCATGTAATAAACTAGATGTGTCACATTTTGTCAATAGAAATGTCGTTTTTGCCAAAACTAGGATATTTCTATGGGGGAGGGGAGGCTAAATTAATATTTATTAAAAATATGTATAGTATATATAAATCAAATACTAATAATGTAACATGTTACAAAATTTTTATAAACCACAAAAAAATGTCTGGGTTCTAGACCTATCTAAGTGGTGATGTATCTATTTGTGGGAATTAAAACCTTATCACATGCAAATATATTTTATATCATTATAAATAATTTATGTATCAATTTTAAGTAACAATTTAATACTATTAGTTTCAGCACTAGGCCATCTTTAGGTTACAATAATAATAATAATAATGTTTAATCGACAGAAAGTTGTTTGTAATATGAACAGTTTTTTTTTGTAATTTACAATCTGTGAATGATTGATTATGTTCCCTTTCAATGAGATTGTTTTAATATGAATTAGGTTTTTTTATAACTACTTTTATTCAATCTTTTCAATAACTGGGCATTTTTATTTTAATCATAACAAGGTATTATATCTTATGTTATGATTATTATGGACTTTTTATATAGTTTTTTTTACTTGTTATATCCAGTTAGTTTATATTAACACATTTATACATCCTTTTTAATATTTTATATTCTGAGTAAAACGAAGAAGCTTATGGTTTTACAAAGATATTTATTTTATATTTTATTTTATTTTTATTTGTGCCCAACTTTTCTACCAAAAAACTTGCTCAGATTTTAAGAGTAGCACCTTTTCCAAAAAAAAAATTGGTGTGGGGAGATGCTTTAGGGAGCTAATTTTTGATTTTCTCAGGAGTTTTCTCATCAAATTTGAAAAACCAAGAAAAAAAATCAGAAATTAAATAAATGTAGGTATTAGTTAAAATATATTACGACCTTTTTTTCTGTGCACAACTTTTTTACCAGTAATTTTGCTCCAACTTATAATGATAGCAATTTTTCTAAAAAGAACTTTCACTAGGAGAGTTCATTAGAGGGGTCATTTTTCAATTTTCCCAAGTTTTCCTAGCTAATGTAAAAAATCAGTATAAAACATGGTAAAACATAGTAAAACTGGAAAAATCGATACAATTTTAAACAAATATTATTAAAGAAAATAAAAATTGTTGTTTTCATAAGCAATAGTTTATTGTTGCTCGCAGGTATACATTAAATTATCTATAACAGTGGCTGCACCTGTCCCCTTTATCCTAGGATATCTTTTTCTAATTAGTGTTAATAATATTAATATTGAAATCTAATTCAAATTATAATAGCGTTACTTTTGCCTATTACAAACTTCTATAATTAACCTAAGTGTTTGTTGATTACAGGTGATTTATTATTAGTAGACGTAGAAAATAAAGACATCACCTTTAGCAAAAAGACAGAAAGTAGAATAACTTCTTTAGTGTGGGTGCAACAAGAAAAACCTCAAAAGAAAGAAACCATAGATTCTGTATTGATTAAGGTTATTACAATACTACTGTTACATATTTATTAAAAGTATCTATTTGCATGTTTTATTTTTATTAAAAAGATATATTTATTATATAATGTACCTATTATATTATTTTAATTTGATTTAGACAAGTGGAACAGATTATCTTCCAAAACTTCAAAGCTTAGTGATACGTGATACGCCCGAAGAGGAAAATAAGTTACCTAAAGTTCAAGACACATTGAATCTACTGTTAGTGGGCATGGAAAATAGTGAAGTACAAATATTGGCTTTAGGTATATTTTTATGCGGGTCTATAAATCTATCTGAAATCTTTGAAAAAGAAGGCACTGTATTGAATATGCACATGCCAATGGATTTCAGTTATCTATATGTTGCTGTTCAATACTTTTATGGAAAAGTTGAAATCACTACCATTAAACTTAGAGAATGTTACACGAATTGGGATGATGTTTATGGTTTGGCGTTTAAGCACGATCAACTTCTATCGTCATTGGATTATTTAGATCAAACCATGAAAAATATACTGGAAACATGGGAAAATGTTTCTTTAATGGAAATGGAATTAAAATTGAGTTCTTATTGTCCAGAAGATCCAGAAAATGTATCAACTGATTTATTAGAACTTCTGATTTATGGAATTAGATCCGAACGCATGGATCAGTTCCTTAAAAAAGATTTAACTGATAAAGGTATAAAAAAAATTGGTTTATCGATAGAATCAAGTCATACCAATGTTCAAAAGCTTATGGTGAAACAATTATCAGAGGTGACAAATCAAATTTTATTTCAACTTGTAGAAATTTCTGGAATGTCTTTGAAAAAATATGAATGTTTGGGATTGACAAAGTGCAGTGTTGAAAAAGCTTTAAAGTCAGTGAATAGATTTTTGATTAAATGCAATGAAGTGCAAATAGTTATTGAAGAGTCATTGACTAGATACAAGTTGTTTTTCAAATGGTTGTATGGTGCAATGCTAAAATTGAATGAAGAAAATGGGGTCACTGATCCATTACTGATGAATACATCTCAACAAGAGCTCAATCTGTTAGCAGAGTATATTTACAATTTGGGTGAACACGCCAAAGTAAATAATTACAAACTAGACCTGGTTGGCCAGTATTTTTTAGACAGCGATCTGGAGTTCCCGTACGAGACACACAACCAATGGTGGAGTATATTACGAGAAAACCCGTGTCTGGAGGAGAATCCTCTGATTGTGCCGGCGCTAAAAAAGTCGTCACTCACGCAGCAGTTCAATGATCTTAAGAACGATCTGGTAGACATATTCGCTCAGAAAAAGACGTTTTTCGACAAAATGTTTATATTGTATAACAATGTGTTGTTAGACAACCACAGCATCAGCCATCAGGTACACAAAGTCACTATGGTTGACCTACCCAACCACAAGTTGCTAGTGTGCTGTGCTGACCAAAACGCGTACGACTTTGGTTTCTATGAGCTAATGGCGTACGACGACACACAGGAAGTGACACTCCGCAGTGCTAATGTGTTTTACATGAGCGACAAGACCAAACAGACGATCCACGACTTACAGTTTTACTCACAGGACCATCTGTCCGTGCTCACAGAGACCGTGGACTCATCAACCAATCGCAATTCTTTGTTTTTACAGTTGTCCACGAGCACCGTGCGTAGCCATTGTTCCAATGACGGACTAGGTGTGTGTAAAATAGGTGGCGCAGGAAATGACAGTTCAGGAGTCGCAAGTGACAATGGTGGTTGTGCCAGTAGCAGCAGTGACCCAAAGACAGTAGATTATTCGTGCAGGGTCGTGGAAAATATGGTAGCAACGAGTTTCGCGGTTAGTGGCACCAGAAAAGTGGCCGTGCTTTTGTCCCACAGCCGTCATAAAGTCAGGCTTTTCGAAATGGAAGTAGATGACGAAGATGACGATGAAGATGATAGTGCGATGGACGTAACGCGGGATTCGAGTTTCGCAGATTAGAGTTAATAGAATGTACCGGATTAGGGTAGATTAGGTTTTAAAACCCCTAACTAAACCATACGAAAAAACTTCCATTTGTTTGTATACAGTGATTCAACAATCAACAGTGATGTAACCGATAAAGTTTTATGTCTCTCGTCCTTGTTTATATAATTAATATAAATGTACAACAATAATGAAGACCTATGCATGTGGCTATAAACTGAGTGAAGCGGTGGTGCGTGGACATTATATGAAACTGTTTTACTCAGTCAATTTTATTTAATTTATTTAATTTAAATTTTTCATTACTTAATTTTTTTTTCTGTCACATACAAGTCAAATTAAATTTTTGTAATTTGTCTTATTTAAATATTACATTGTATGTATATAACTAATATAATAATATATAAATTGTTTTCTTTTTACAGTAATTATCGTATATTTGTATTACATCCATGAAACTATAAATGTAAGAAAAATATGAAAATTGTTCTTCTCCAAATGACAGCAACTTTACTGCGCTCTAACTGAACTTGTGTCCATCACTATGATTTTGATTCATAGTTGATTTTGTCTTGGGGGACTTCTTTTTGTAGTGTTGGGTTGTCTATGCCGTGTTGAAACATATTCTCTTTCATAATGTTTGTTTTTCTATACATTTGTCTATCCGTTGTTGTTACGTCCTCATCCGAATAGCTGTCTTCTGTAAGAAAATGGTGAAAATAATTTATTAGAGTGCAAATATTGAACACATTTTCGTTTTTTTCTATTACCTAGTTAAAACAAAACCTTATCAGCTGTAAAATATGTTCTTACCATAATATTTTATGTTGCTTTTTTGGGGTAACTATGTATTTTATATAATTTTTGTTCTTTATATAATGTCACCTAAGAGTTTTAATCAATTGTTTGGGTTTTAAAAATGTTAAAAAAAACCTTTATTATAATAAAGGTTTTTTAGTTTGTTAAGTATTTTGAGAGATTTGTATTGCTTTTAAAAAAAATGTTTTTCCATAGTCTTTAAGCTTTAAAAACCGTGCTCTATAAATCATTATTATTATTGATTATGAAACGTGTCAAATAATAATTTACCTCTAAAGTGGAGTGTTCTGTTGCCATTTTTATATGCCGTCAGGTAAAACAAATATAATAAGAGCAAAATCAACACGAGGACACTGAATACAGCAGCTAGTCGTATGCTATTGACCTGGTAAAAAAAAAAAATTATATTATTATAATATTATACACATACATACTTATAATTACAATCATATATACTAAGCCTACACAATGTATATAATAGATGCACAATATTTTTGTATTACATAATAGATATATTTCTGTAGTTCCCAGGGAAAAAGGGCTTAAGTCAATTTTTGGCAATTTTTTTTCTAAAAATTTTGTCTTTTCTTTCCCCTTATTTTTGGTTTAAATGGCATAATGTACATTCTAACACGTTATATTGAAAATAAAAATATTTGATATATTTTTTATTTGGTAATGGAAAAATGACAGAAGTCATATATTTAATTATCATATGATGAGGCTTTTTTTTCTTTAATCACAGATAGCAATGGAGAATTCGTTTTCACATTGCTACCCCACTACTGCTATCTACTGAAGATCAAAGCCTTAGCGTCTCAGTTCGCCGAACTACCAAACTTGATTTAGCCCTTCCCTTCCTCTTTACGACCCCCTTCACGGAACCCATGAGTCGCGTTTCGAAGACCACTTTGTGACACAGAGGTACAACAACCTCCAACCTGGCAAGTTATGCAGGAAGCTGTCGAGCGCTCCGATTGGTAGCATGCCAGTGCACCACTTTTGGAGGAACAGGTCACAGAGTCGGGCTTGGGTACCTTAGTCTTGAGACCAGCACGATCACTGGAGACGCAATTGCCCACGCCGTGAGGACAATCACGCTGCTTAAGCTATTTAGAAAATTATAAATATGCGATTGTACCATTTAGCAGTTTTCAAAATTACATATGCTTATATTGAAATGTAAACTATATAAAACTGTATAACCTATCTAGGTTTCTTCCCTGGGACCAAAGATTTTATTAGAATACCTATTCGACAGTTTTAATATTTTCTGTTTTTGTCTTTATCCATCTGAAGACAATTTCATAGACCCTGGAGTAATACGTGAATTTGGTCTCCAGAAGTGATACTAATTTTTTATTTTTTTTTTATTATTATTAACATTTTACGGGACAATAGCCCTTTGAATACAGTAAACAATGAACATCAAGAATAGCAAAAAAAAAAAAAAAATTGAGAGAAAAAAAATACACACAGTAATATTGATTAATGCGTGAATTTGGCACGCAGACCTAACCATTTATATAGCTTAAAATAAAAGTTTTCAACTTATCAAAGGTTTGAAGTTGATCGTATAACATAGGATGGCTGCGTGAATTTGGCACCCCTTACTTAAAAAGCTTCTTGCGGTGAAAATAATAATTAAAATTATGAAGACTGGTTTTCAAATGTTTTCAAATTATTTTCAAAATAATGGTGGAGGTTCGGAGAAAATTGGATAAAGTGGGGGGAGGGGCAACTTAACACACGTTAATGTGTTAATTGACTAATGAAGAAATTGAAAAAGAAATTAAACATTTTATTTTATATGGCATTTACAGTTGTATTGCTATTCGGTGTAGGTAATTGTTAAATATATATTTAGTTTTTTGACACTAAAGTCAAATAACGCCGTTGAATTAGAATGATTTACTTTCATATTTACAAGAGTTTTTGGCACTCTTATTCCATACCCATAAACCGTTAGAACTGTAATCAATATCTAATTAAACCCAATATTATAGCCTAAATGAGAACGTAGGTAATCCATATTTTGAAGGTAATGCGGACTACGCTATATCGCCGTATCAGTTTTAATTTTCTAAAAGCAGTAAAACTACTATAAATTAGAAATTACCTTTTACCTAGTAATAAAAAATATTAAAACCAAAATTGTATTTATCTTCCTAATTTACAGAAACCACTTTTGGCACACTATAAAAACCTACTTTCGAGAGTTTCGTGATCGACTATAACGCGAATCTGTCATTTTTTAAGACTTTAAATAAACATCGATATTTACATTTTGTGAAATATCAGGTACTTGTACCTAGACAAAGTGATAATTATTTAAATGCCCGGTAGAATTATCAAAAACATATTTTGAAGTATACAAATATTTACCTAAATAAAAAATAATAACAATAAATAGAACCTCCGAGAACCCCTTAAGAGTTAATCGATACAAAACCTAATTTGTATGAATAAATTACGCCTATATCCGTATTATTTGAATGAACAAAAAATAAAATAAAATCGTACCCCGGTCATTGGTCATAGGTGTCTACACCCATTTAATATTTGTCAAGCTTAAATTTAGAAGAATTCAATTTGAACGGTTCAAAACAATTTGTATACAGATGACGGACAACCACCTAACATGGTTAAATAATTTAGCATCAGAAGTATCTATCTGGATCCGGTAATGTTCATCTACCGTAACGTCACAATGTTATTATTACCTACGCCGACATTGTTATATATTAAATTCACCGTCTTCGCTGTCGCTAGACAATAGCAAACGGACATACTTAGCCACACATTATTCAATACAAAAACGTCCTATTTTCGGACGGCCACGAGTGCTATTCCCCCCACCGTGCAGCGCGTTCGCATATTTTTAGACTCCCGTCCGCCGAGACAATTCTAAACAGCATCACAACTCGAAAGCGTACCGCGCACTCTGTATGCACAATGTTATTGGCACCCAATTTATTTTACTTTTTATCGTTTATTATTGTGTTCTCAGTAATCAATTAGGTACATACTTAATAGTTGATACGATTGATACGGTAGAGTGCCCCACAGGCAAAACGGTTCGACGATGACAAAAACAAATCAGTAATACGCAACGCGACCGCGCATGACACAATAAACACAAATTTAATATTACAGAGGTCAACCAGCACGCTGGCAGAGGCGGTTTGAAAGTGCATATTATGCACTTCTATGCTATACTGTACTATTGAGTGATGCAAGGCATATAGACACCCAACACCTCCCCACACGCCCTTTCAATGGCATTTTTTTTTTTTTTTTTTTTTACAATACTATTCAGTGTACAGTAGTATCTACTATTTAGTTACACTTTTCACTACTTTTCGCGGAGCTGGAGGTTAAATTTTTCATCACACTTTCTAATATTCAATAGTTCAATTAGTTGTCAGTATTATCAGTAACGATGAGTTAATTTATAGTATACTAATGATATTCCAGTAAATAAAAGAAGTTAATAGGTAGGTAGGTATATTACCCACTCAAATTATTGTTTTTCTTTAATGAAAATTGGAACTATACGTTGCAGTATAGGAGAATGCTCGACAATCTGTATAAAACATTAATGGTGGATGCACTATAATAACATTCCAAAGGTCATGTCTTTTTAATATTTACAATTTCTGCAGAACAGAGGCGGACACAGAAGGGAGCTGGCTGAAGCTCCCCTTAGCACGGAGGTAGGTAGATACTTTAAAAATAGTACTAAATACTATACCGGACTATGTAAATTACAACTCGGATTAAAAATAAATAATTAAACGTAACTGGAAAGTGAAATTTTAGAATCCCCTGCCCATATCTAATTCTAGGTCCGCCACTGTTGCAGAATGATGGTCGTTTCAAAAACTATAGCTAATCATCGATACCGTGGGTTCGGAATCGCTTGTATCATAGTATTGTAGGTAGGTATACTCGTATACCTACCTACAATACGATTGTAACGGATTTCTCGAAAAACGCCCGGAGAACACAATAATTGTATAGTTTTCTCTTTTAGACATGCACCGTTTAAACTTTTAGAGTCCAAATCCGGCGCCCTAAAATCTTTGTCCCCCCGGCAGCCCAAAAATGACGACGGTGGTTTTCACAACATTGTGCGTAGTACGTACCGTGTAATCGTTCGCCCACAGATCTTGCCATTCCCTTTTGATTTCCAACTGCACGGACCTCGCCGACAGCGATATGTTGCCGAGATGCTTGCAGACGCACGTGTAGATTCCGCTCTCTTGAGGCGTCACTTGCTGCGGAAACACAAATAGTCGTTACCGATATTTCAGAGGCGGTCAGACGAGAGATGAAGGGGGATGTTACATACCCCACCATGACCTCGATTCCTTCAATATGTATTTTGAAGCGCTACCGCAACATTACATATTTATCGAAAAAAATTACGTAAATAATAATTGCTGTTAAACAGTCGACTTCATCCGTCCGTGACGAAATTATTCGATCGCATTCCGTTAACTTCTATCGATAGTTACGGTTTTCGTATCCCTAGAGGAGAGGGGGTGGAGGGGCACGTTACTCGACCCCGGAAAAGTGTCGAGTCGAATGATTCAAGTGCGAACGAATGCCGTGCACGAGATAAAGTGTTCGTTTTCGGGTCGATAGCGCACGCATTGAATATCAATGGGTTTTTTTTTTTATTGGCAAATTCAAAACAAGGGTCGAAGATTCGTACGGACGGGAACGGACGATACTGTCGGAAATAACCGACAAGTACGCCGGCGGTGACATAACAATAAGCGAGTGTAAGGTACCTTGATGTAGAGTGTGCCGGTGAGCACTTCGTACCGGAACTTCTCGGTGTTGAGTGGCGTACCGGGCCCGATGACCTGGTCGGGTTTC